TCAGAAGTGCGATGCGATCCATCAGAACCATGATCATTGGATGATCATGGTACGTGGATGCAGAGGAGTCCGTGGTGGAACAGAGAGTCAGGAGTCCAGCGGGCGACGCTCAGGCCTGGATGTCTCGCCTGAACCCTTCCTGCCGTGCTCGGAAAAGCACCTTGACAAAACATATAATCAAACAGACAGCGCTGAATTGGGGTCGGCGGCAGAGGCGGCAGCCTGCAAATCCTCACATCCTAAGCCCTAAACCCTAAATCCTGAAACAAAGAACGCGCGGGCGGAGAATCGTCGCGGCACGTGCACTTCACGCGGCGCTCGTTCACTAGAGTGCAGCACTCGCAACCAGGAGATGCTGTTCCCGCGATTGCACAAGTTCCTGGGCCATTCCCCAGGCAGTCGTTGACGATCTGGACACCTGGGCAGGCTGTGCACTGTTCGCGGACGCGCTCTTGTCCCTGCCCATCAGATGCATTGGCAGCGAGAGCCACCTGGAATAGCTGAATCTGCAGCGTAGCACACTCCTGAGCAATCGCATCCACTGGAGGGAACGCCAGGAGGCTGGCGATCAAAGCACCCTATATCGCTTGGCTTACGATGCATGAAATGGGTTGAATGAATCACGCACGCTGGAGGCAGAAGCCCGAGCCCAATGAGCTTGAGCCAGATTGGCTACGGAAGGACAAACCCAGGGATGGATCTGAAGATCGATGTTGAATAGCACTGGGTCGGCACCACCTCCTGTCGTCCTGTCCTGACATCCATCATCTTGAAAATTCTTACCGACTGGACGCCAAAGAGAGCAATCATACTCTCTGCAAGCTATTTGGTGGAAAGGGCGTGGCGTAAGCTATGTGATGCAAGCTACGCAGTGCAAGCTACGCAGTGCAAGCTATGTGGTGTAACCATTTAGTGCTCACTAATGAGTTGTCAACTCCACTGCTCGCGCCATCATCCCGCCCTCCCACCCGCAACTTGTTTAGTACAAGCGATTGCGGTTACTCATTCGACTGGCTGGCGAATATCTGCGGGTGAGCTAGCGCGCGCGAGCTCGCGAGCGGCGAGCTGTTTGAGCACAACCGATGCGGCCGCCGTGGCGCTTACCAATGGCGGATTTCCAGTGCGTCTCAAACGCCGCGTTGGCGCGCGGGCGCTTGGGCGGGCGCGGTTTCATGATGACGTTGCCAACGACGGCACCGATGACAACAATAACGATGGTTGCGATGGTGGAGATGATGATTTCCATGTGTCGGTGATGACGGTGCTTGAAGTGGTGATGGCGGCGATGGCGACGACAGTCGATGACGAGGACGTGATGCGGCGGCACGGCGCTGATGAAGGTAATGCTGAGGAAGAACGCGCGCGCGGAAATGCAAGCACCATTGCAATACTTTCTGTTGAACAACACGCGCTTTCTCACACGTGTTTGAAAGCTCTTTTCGGAATGATTCGGGAACAACCCATGATGCGGGAACAACCCATGAACCCGTGGTCCGCATGATGCTATCTGAGACGGGCTCGTGCACTGGGTGCTTGCTCGATCAAAGCGGATGCACCGAGTGGTGAGATGAGGATGCGGGACGGGGGGTTGGACAATATTGCTAAAAACGTATGGCTGTCTGGTGGTTTCAACAAATGCGCGCGGGCAGAACATCTGCAACACATTTGAGGAGCACCTGATGGTTGTAAATGTGTGTGCGTTGAAATGCTTGCAGCACTCGGGTGTTTGGTGCGATTTCGACATGTGCGCGTGCGCGTGGACTTGTAAACCCACATTATATGTGGACCGGTTGATGGATTTGTTGCAGGGGGTTATTGAAACATAAAGCATGGGCGCACATAATATTAGTTGTCTGATATGCAAGAGAGCGAGAGATGGATACCCGTCGGCCAAGGATGGTATGAGTTCATCGGAGGTTGGATGGTGAGATCGCAGTGGAACAGAGAGCCCCCCACTGGGAAATCGGATTCGGTTTCGTGTTCGAGTCGTGCGTGCGGGCGAGGCGAATCTGCGTGAGAGCGCGAGAAGAATGATGCCGCCACGGTTAGGGGCTGAGGAGCCGGTTGTCCGCCCCTCCCTCCCCTGGCGCGCGGTGGCGAGAAGTGTCCCGTCGGTGGCGCGGTGGTGCCCTGTCGGTGGCGCGGGGTACCTTGTCGGTGGCGCGGGGGGGCCCCGTCGGTGGCGCGGGGGTGCCCTGTCGGTGGCGCGGGGTGCCTCGAGGGTGGCGCGGTCGGTGGCGCGTGGGTGCCCCGTCGTTGGCGCGGGTTGCCCCGTCGGTGTCGCGGGGTGTCCCGACAGTGGCTCCGGGTGTCGCCGTGGTGTCACGATGGTAGCTCGTGAGAGCAGTTGTGAGATCGATCGTGAAATCGACAGTGAGATCCACCCTCTGAATCTCGTGAAGGGTGCTCTGGAGGCCATCAGGGCCTTCACGGGAATCCCTGGGCGGCACCTGGGGCAGGCACAGCTTTGGCAACACTCTAGCAAGGGAGCAGGGGGGGGAGGAAAAAAACGTTCTGAGACGATCTCGAAGGGACGGTTCCCGGTAGCAACCGACAGCGGCCGCTGCTGGGCAAGCGCTTCTCGTCACAAACTGACGGCGAATCTGGCTCGAAGCGTGCGAGAACTGCTGTCGGGCTGCGTTCCCCCGTCCTCCCCGTCCCCAATTTCGGTACTTCTAAAAGTGGGAAGGGAAATCTGGAAGCGTCAGCCGTACGCCACCATCATCCCCTGGCCATGGCCATCCTGGGCCCTGCGCCATACGGTCTCCTGCCTTCGCCCAGGAATCTCTGCAAACACTGTCCTGGATCCCAGGACGCAGGATGGCCCTGGCTAGGGACGGTGTTGGCGTGTACCTGCCTTCTACGGAGGGCTACCAGACCAACCAAACCCAACCCGAAGACCCGACTTTCAATCTTTGTTTTGTGGGTACGGGCTTCAAAGGTGTTTTTTCAATGCTCCCCGACCCCCCCCCCCTGGAAATGGAGGACCTTCGGGTTGGGTTGGGGTGATTTGGTGGGCGTTTATACCGGCAAGCCAGGACACCTCGCCACTGCTTAGCCAGAACCCCAAGATGCTCTAAAAACAAAAATAAGTTTTTTGGAACATAGGCCCGATGTGTTAAAGCACAAGACAGTCTCAGCCAGAGGTTCTAAGAACCTTTCGTGCAGACCACAAAAAGAGCTCTTAGAACACTGTTTGACAGGCCTGTAGGCAAGCGAAGACCCTTCGCCACTGCTCGGGCCTGTCTGTGCAGTCCCTCCGGAAGTGGGGGCGCACGTCTCAGCGCTGCTGGGCAAACCCAAGAGGCCCCCCCACGGAGACCCTGCGAGGTCATCAAAGAAAGCCTCAGAGGCAGCCGCCCGATCGCGGTGGCGGGCAGCGCCCCCCAGGGATCACCCCTACGATTCAACGTGGGGGTGTCAAACGTTCAAGCCGTCCTGCAAGAGGCGTATCCGATGGCTGAAACAAACGAGCGACGATCAAGAACGGGTCTCACGCGAGATGGCATAGCGACCTTCGCGGTGGCTTACGCGGACCGCCAGCGCGGCACGCTACGCTGGAAGCGATGGCGCTTACGCGCGACCTTACGCGAGCAACTTAGGCGCCAATGTCGGCGTAGACGACCCCGTTTTTTTGCGTCGCTCAAATGTGTTATGCAAATGTTCGTCCGCTGGGATATGGGCACGATGCTCAAACGTGAAAACTGTCCGAAACCGACGGCGGCTGCTGATAGTGAGCGGTGCCCGCGGCGACAGCGACCAGCGAGCCTTGCTCAACAAAGGGCAAGAATTTTTGCTGGCCTTCTCGGAAGATGGCCAATGGAGATCGGGGACGCACTGACCCGGGTCAATGCAAACCCTGGTCAGTCAGGCCTTACAGGATCCCGCAATATCCCACCAGATCCTGCACCCAAACCTGGGTCAATGCCAAGGATCCTGCAGGATCCTGCGCCCAAACCCGGGTCCATGCGACCCTGGTCCTGCAGGATCCTGCAAGATCGGGCGCACTGGCTGACCCCCGTCTGCGTTGACCCCCGTCTCACGGATCCCGAGGAGAGGCCGGCAGCTCTCCTGCCCGGCCCGAACCAACTCCTCTCGAACTCGGTCCCCGGAGCCATTCTGACCCGTTCTTCGAGGCGGTTCCAGAGCCGTGGTGACGAGAAGCCTCCCGGAGGCCCCCAGAAAGAGGCAGAACAACCAAACAGGGAGGACCTCCATCCACCGCACGCAGCTCGGCGAGGTTCTGCCCGGGCGCCGCCAAAGTGGCCCCCGGCCCAGGCTGCCCTCAGCTTCTCGGACCGGCAGTCCATATGTCCAGGTTCTTCGTCTTCCGGTGCTGGAGGGATGTTTGTTGCATTGTACTTGCATTCGTAGACTGACAAACCTTGTACTGGCGATGTGAGGTGTTTCCTTTTCTCGTCTGTCTTGCCTCCCCTGCTTCCTCCCTGTTGCCTCTTGCTGTTGCCTCCACGTTGTTGTACTTTGTCGTGTGTGTGACCACAACCGCTCCGACGGATGACTGGCGGGGCTCGTGCTTCTCCCCTGCTCCTGGTCTGCCATGATCGTCTTGGGCGTGCTGTCGTCATGTTCCTGCATTGTGTATACGAGCGACAGTAAATTGAGCAATTGTACAGTAATTCCGGCGGCGTCGCACTCTTATCGCATCGCAGAGGTGTTGCGTCATCGTGCGGCACTCCGCAGCTACAGCTCAAGGAAGTAGCATCATCCATCGAGTTGTTTCGGCTTAGTGATCTGGTCGTGCCTGCTCCTAATCCCAATCCCCACCATACACTTCACACTACATGCGTGCAATTGTTCTTGCATTTCTATATTTCTCTGTGTACTGTACCTGCCAAGCGCTCATCATGGATTCGCAAAATCCGTTTGCCCCGCGCCCTCCGGCATTGCAGGGTGGTTTCGGCCGCGGCATGCCGATGCCAAGTTATTCGTTTCCTCCAATGTCAGCTCCGACAGCACCGCCGGTGCCCAGGCCAGGAGCCATGCGTATCTTCGAGGGCCAGGTCGTAGACCTGAGAGATGTCTGCGAGGATGGTCACGGCCGGTACTTGCCCCTTCACCAAGATGATCCCTCGAAATTTGAGGTCGTGGCTATTGCTAGTAACAATGCTGGCATGAAAGATCTTACGAAGAAAGAAAAAGTCGTGCCCGTCTTCACGAAAGCGAGCGAGGATTGGAATAAGACTCTGGACAGGGCAGAGGAGATCTCTCGGCTTATCCCTATGGCAGTATCTGATGAGGACTGGAACGACTTCATCACTGGCGTGAAGTCGGTCCACCAGAAGCTCAGCATCCCGATCGGCGAGTCTGTGTCCTCGTTCCTGGACCGTAAGCACGCGGAAGAACCAGCTCAGCGTGATCGCCGCCATGCGTCGTCATCTTCAGCTTCCGGTGCGCAGCCGGCTGTTCGCAGGAATTTGTTCGAGACAGACTTCGGTGCCAATCGTGCTTGGGAGGCTGAGCCGGCGCGACAGTCGCTGCCCAAGGACTTGATCGGTCTTGAGGTCCGTGACAATGACCTTGATCGTACAGGCAAGGTCGTCGGTCTCACCATGGACCCGGACGCAGTCTTTTCAGTTCACTGGGACGACGGATTTGAAGCCGAACTCTCTTACGATGAGATTCGCCAGCTCGACTTTCCAGGAGCATCTGTGCACTTCAACATCGGCACGCCCAACCCTCGTGCCAGGAAGGGCATTCGCCGGAACAAGGACGATCTTGCTGCTGCTTCGACTGAGTGGGATAGGATCTGCGCTTCCCGCACGGACTGATCATCACAAGGATGGCTGTTCCGAGTTGCCCGGCAATGTTGGCAACTCAGTGCTTCCAACAGTGCATTCATAGTGCCGCACTTCGCGCGTCTAGGCCTGCAGGCAAACAGTTGTGCATGTCTCTCCTCTTCCTCCCTGCCTTGCTGCTGCCGCCGTTTCTCCGTCCGGAAGTGGTTGTGTGAATGCCGCGACGAAGCCAGTGATGACGTGGCGGGTGATGTCGCGAATGTCATTGCCCATCCCAGCTTCGACAGGCTTGCTATTGTTGCTGCTGCTCGTTCCGTGTGTTTGCTCGTGTACAATGTTGAGGCTGGCGAGAAGGAACCTCATGTGAAGTGCAGGGCTTTCCAACGTGTCATGCGCATTTCTTCCTCCCACCTCCATGTTTTGTTTGAGCACCGTTATTGTAAGCGTAGCACTAAGTCTCATGATAAAACGTGGATGTCTTCTGCTGATCACGTTTTGAATCGCATTCGGGCTATCGTTTCTGTGAGGTGGATGGGTGTCTCGAAGTTTCGATGGCATCAGAAGATGTTGAACATGCTTCATGTTGCGCGTACGTCCGTCCAGTGTGATCGCGTTGTTCGTCATGATTCGAATAATGTTATTTACGTGTGGTTCTCTATGTGTCACAATTTCATGTACGTGGGGAAATCTAACACGTCCTTTGTTGAACGCACTAATGAGCACCATTACGCTCTATTCTCGTACCGGAAAGATTCCCAAATCCCCGCTTACTACACAATACGGTCTCTCGGCGTTGGCTCCTTCATCCAGATGCCTCTTGTGTGTTTGTCCTCCAGTTCGGACGTGGAGTTGCGATTCATAGAAAAACTGTTTGTGAGCGCATTGCATGCCCCGCTGAACCCCCCGTTTGTTCACAAGTATGTGAAACAGGGTTGTCGTCAGCAATGCCATACTTCTGTTACCATCCGGGGGGAGGGGTCTAAAACCCGTAGTAAGTTTTCTCATAATCGGCGCCCCGTTCCTTCTTACTCGCATCTTTATATTTGCACTGCCGATGATGCCCCAGCTGTACATGACACTTCCACGGCTAATTTGCTTCAGTCTAAATTGTCCGTCTTAGTGTGTCGTCTGGGGGAGCTGAGGCGCAAGGGTAATAATTGCGTGAAATTTCTGAAGTCGTTCATCGATCGACGGCCGGGGCTTGTTAACATGCTCGTTGAACGCGTCGAGAAGAATCTCGTCGGTTCCAACTTGTCTGTTGCCCGCCAAAGGATTTTTCAGGTTTTGGGGGACACGAAACGCATGCATCAGAGAAATTGTGTTGTCAAAATGCCTCATCTCCCTGGGTTTCGCGTGCATGATGTCGTCATGAAATTGTTCCGTGACATGTGTGCTCCGTGTATCCCTCGTGGTCATGCTTTTGCCGTGCATGTTCGTCCTCTTTTCTCGCCTTCCCCTAAGGACATTCTTGTTAACTCCAAGTGGTGGGGCAAACGGTTGCAGTCGTATGACTTTCCGTGCACATGCAGTGAATTGGGTTCATTACTCGGCGTTCCTTTGCCGGTGGACGGTCACGTGTGCGTGAGGGCTGAGAATAGTACTCTTAATGGGAGCATCCCTCGTCATTTCCATTATGACGGCCCTTGTGTGTGGTCAAGGGGGCATGTGATGAAGTGCATTGATGAAAGCATGGAGGCTCTTGCACATCGCCTTGTGAAGGCCGGTGTTCATGTGAATTGGAGCGCTTCTGATGTCCACGCTTACCTTCGCGAGTTGTACAGTAATGCTGGTGATTTTCGCCAGAGGGGGGTTCTTGAGCATGACGTTCGGGCTTGGAAGAAATTGTTGTTTTCGCGTGCCGTTATCACGCCAATCGACAAATGTTCTTCTTCCGTTGCTCTGTCGTGTCCTCGTGGGTGGCAGCTCCGGGCCAGAGCCTTCGCGTTCAGTAGCAATCGTCCTGTGCAGTCTTTCATGGGTTGGAACGCTTTGCATAATCGGTTCAGGGAAGCCCAGGAGCGCTTGAGATACACTGGCGTCGTCTGCGCGTCTCCTGAAAGACATGTTTTTGGCATGATTGACGTGTGGCCTAAACATTCCGACCTCGCTCTCAAGAGTCGCCCGGTTGGTTCGTACTGGTCTCGTCGCTTGAAACCTTTATTTTCTTTGTTGTGCCGCGTTCTTAATTTCATGGTCCGGTTTGTTTATCCCGACTCTATCAGCGTCTTGTCGAACCAGAAAGTCATTGATAGTTTTCATACGTTCAACCTCGACGTTGCCGAAAATAAGAGGAAAGGCTTCATTCCTGTGTTCATGCCTTTTAAGCGCGACATTGACGGTTTCTTCAATAACGTCCCTTGGGCTTTAATACATCGTGCTCTTGACTGGTTGACAAGTAGGTGGAAAAATGTTGCCGGCACTCGGAAGATGTACGTCCAGGTTCCCCGATATCGCCGTAAACCGGCCCCGCAAGGTGGTGCCCCTCTGTGCTTCTCGCGGGCGTTTAAGGGCCATTTACGAAAACTTGCAAAACCTGGCGTTGACGAGGCACGGCCGCACAATTCCCGTAGTTTGGCCGCTGATAAGTATATCTTTCATGTTTCCGACATTTCTTGGCTTGTCAACTTTGATCTTGCTCACGGTTTCCTCCACCTTGGTAATGTGCTCGTGGCTCCCCACAAAAGGATGACCCAAGGGTGCCCTCATGCCCCTGGCGTGTGCAATGTTGTATGCTGTTATCTTGAGTACGACAGCGCTCGGCTCCCGAAAGGCATCGATTTACACTTTTTGCACCACGTTTCTTCTTTGAGGCTCCGTTGGGTTGATGATATTTACGGCATTCATTGTTTTTGGCTCCCTCCCCCAAATGCTGTTGATTATGCGTCTGGCCCTCCTCCGAAGAGACGCCGGATCTGCAAGTCTTCTGGTCATGGGTCAGTTTTTTTGAAGTAGACGCTCTCTCGCAGCGCTTCGTTCGCCATGTGGAGACCATGTACACTGATGTTGTGTTGACCCGGGCTTGTGGGAAGCAGCGCATGAAAGCCCTCTCGTTGAAAATCGAGGATGCCTCTGTTTTCGTAGGTTTGGACGTGAACGTGACTGGTGAGAGCGTGTCCCTCGCCCCCCACACGTGCAACGGCGATCTGCTTCGTCAATCGTGCGTTTCCTTGGCCCGGCCTCGGTTCCAAGCGTTTCATAGCAACGTGCCTGTCTCTGCTATGATGGGGTAAAAAAAGGCCATATCGTGCAGACGATTGATCGGTGTCTCGATTCTGACCCGTCTTCTCGTCTTGCCAATGTCATCATTGAGTTGCGTTGTCTAGAATTTCCCTGGCCTGTCCTTGACCGGGTAGTGAAACGCGTTTGCCGGAAGCATCCTTACCTCTCGTGCCTGAAGCAGGGTGTCTGTCTGGCGCGGTCGAAGATCGGATAATGTCCCTTCTGTTGCCCTCTCTTGCCCTCCCCTTCTTGTCCTCCCTTTCTTGTCTCCTCTCTTCCTTTCTTGTCTTCCCTCTCTTCCTCCCTCTGGTCCTCCCCCTCTCCTTCTCTCTCCTTCTTGCTTGTGTCGTCTGTGTGTGTGTTCTCTTGTGCCTCGTCTTGTTCTGTCGGCCAATAGGGGGGCGTAGTTGGCGGCATTCTTCTGGTGATGTAGGGTTTCACATGTATGTGCACGTGAACTGGCACGGACCGGCTGTCCGAGTGTCCAGGTTCATTGTCTTCTGGTGATGGAGGGAGCTCGTAGCTTGTGTGTACGTGAACTGGCACGGACCGGCTGTCCGAGTGTCCAGGGTCATAGTCTGCTGGTGCTGGAGGGATTTGCATTGTACTTGCTTGTATGTGTACATGAACTGGCACGGACCGGCAGTCCATATGCCCAGGTTCTTCGTCTTCCGGTGCTGGAGGGATGTTTGTTGCATTGTACTTGCACTCGTAGACTGACAAACCTTGTACTGGCGATGTGAGGTGTTTCCTTTTCTCGTCTGTCTTGCCTCCCCTGCTTCCTCCCTGTTGCCTCTTGCTGTTGCCTCCACGTTGTTGTACTTTATCGTGTTTGCGACCACAACCGCTCCGACGGATGAGTGGCGGGGCTCGTGCTTCTCCCCTGCTCCTGGTCTGCCATGATCGTCTTGGGCGTGCTGTCGTCATGTTCCTGCATTGTGTATACGAGCGACAGTAAATTGAGCAATTGTACAGTAATTCCGGCGGCGTCGCACTCTTATCGCATCGCAGAGGTGTTGCGTCATCGTGTGGCACTCCGCAGCTACAGCTCAAGGAAGTAGCATCATCCATCGAGAATTCTCGCGCGAACTCTGTAATCAGCTCCTCCTCCTCCCCCTCCTCCTCCTCCTCCGTCTCCTCCGATCTTCGTCCCCGTTCTTCCCGAACCGATCCTCGGGACCCGCGGCTGGACACCCGACCCCCTGGACCCCAGAACTTGGCAGCGGCCGGGGGGTCCGCGCTGGAAGGACCCAGAGGTGAAAAGGCCAAGAGTGGAGGGTGGGACCAAGGCAGATCCGCCCCAAATCAGCTCCCAGACCCCTCCTTGGCTCGCAGCTGGCCAATCTCTCGAGCCGCGTCCACCAGCCGGAGCGACGCGGGGGCGCCGTTCTCCCTCGGCGAAGACGCGACTGGCCCATTGGGCGCGGATGCCCCGGTGACCGCTTTCGTTTTTCATTTCCCAGGTAACGCTCGCTACCCCTGAGGGGGGTCGGGCGGGAGGGTACAGTGGAGGCCAGTCCATAAGAAACCCAACCCTGAGACCCCAGGACGTCCATAGGTGTTTGGTGTGGGAACGTCGCGCTCTCAATCGTAAAACTATCGAAACCCAAGAAACCCATGGCACCCTGGAGGGAAACAGGGTGTCTTGGCATGGACCTCCACTGTAACGGTAACGGCAGCCGCGGCGTGCAACCGCCAGGGTGCGTCCGCGCCACAGCATGTAGCGGGGGGTCCAGGCCACCGGGGGCGGGGCCCGGCCGCTCCTCGCTCCTCGCTCCTCCTCGCTCTTCTCCTCCTCCTCCTCCTCGCTCCTC